AGACGAGATTTTTTGACCTCCAAATATTCTACAAAAATGTCGTTAAATTTAAATGGAGTCATCAAAAATAAGAAATTGAAGTTTGTATGCTTCCATCGTCCTTTTTCCACTATTACCCGATCCCTGCTCAGATAACTTTATATCTTCGAATATTAATAAATTTTGAATAAATTGGTGGGTAAAAAACTTCTTCATATTCTGGCATAGACCTTATTAAGAGGTCCCGAAAGTGTTTTCATGTACCTAAGTGACTGCAGTTTGGTAATCTGAGTTCTTTTTGAGTCTAAATTTAAGTCAATATTTTGAAATAACACCCATGTGTAGGTCATACCCTATATTATGTCTTGTGACTGTCCTAACGGCATGTTCTCCACCGAAGTGGCATGCGGGTTCTTGGTTTCTTCGAAGCCCTGTAGGTCCATACTTTGACATAGTCCCATTTTAAAAGTTCTGTCGAAATTTTAGATATTTTGCGGGTTTTATGAACAATTTCCAACGGAAGTCATGATTGGTATTCAATATCGGTCGATGCTTGCCATCTATTCGGTATACTGAAGGTCTAAGCTGAATTTCTCTGAATGTCTGTTATTTGTTATTTAATTTTCTTAGAACCTAAAAAAGACCACCTTGCAGGCAATAAAGTTCCGATCAATTTTTTGGTATTTTTAATAATCACCAGATGTTGAATTTCGAATAGGCCGAATTTTTCAGTACCTTAGTACCAAGAACTTTTAATAATAGACCTATACCTTAGTATACTGATCGTATCTCATACATTATATCTCTAAAAGTTAAATAGATTTACCTATTCCGTCCGTATGTCCGACCATTGTTACCACTTACGACTTATTTTCAATTCTAATTTCATATTATTTTAGTTCCCAATTGGGTGTCAAATCTTCCTACAAAAAAGTATCGTTCCAAGTTCTCTTATATCTCCGATAATCCCAATGTTCGATATATTGATGATTTCAGATATGTTTTTTAATCGTCACGCGTTATTTTTAGTATTATTTATCCATGTCCTAGTCCAAGAATTTTTTATTAGTTTTTATATATTAGTATAGATTATTTAAAAGTTCCCCCTTTAAGCTGCAATTTTCAACCGACATGTGACTTTATAAAAGCCATGTCGGAGTTTCAGTTGATTAAAGAATTCATTGAAGAGACAATGTCAATATATGACCCTTTTTTGTAATAGTATCTCGTACTATTTTGGGAATTTTTAATAAATATACAAATATTTAAACCCAAAGAATAACCAACTTTCCTGGCAGAAATTTTTCCTATAGAGGAGTTCAAACCGACATCAAAAATATTTTAGACCTCTAGGCTGATTTTTCCATTCGAAAAGGCTGTAATTCAGAATTTGAAATACCAAGTTCTCAGAGGCCAACCTTCCTCATTATAGACAACTTTAAATATTTGTCAATATTTGAAAATAGGTAAATTTGTAGTAATTTGAGACTTCTACTCGCAATTTCTGGTACAGGGTATAAATAGTTTTGACCGCCTGAACTTTACAATGGTTTTCTTTTTTCACGTTCCAATTGTCACTATTGATTTCACAACAACAATAAATATATATTTTCTCTTTAAATTTAAGCTTTGAATTTCGAGTATCAGATAACAAAATCGTTCTGCATATTCATGACGACCCATCGTTTATAAAATTTGTTTATTATTCGTATATAAACGTTAAAAAAGGCCTAACGATTTTTGTTGACAAAATAATTTTTTAGTAATAATATGGGAATTAACCATATTTAAAAATATGGTAATTCACAACAAAGCTTAAGTCATACTAACTTGACCTATAAAGAGTTGCCGAAATTTGAATGTGAAATATGGCTATATGGTCATAACGATTGACATTGAATATCGAGGGTTGGTTGAAATAGAAATGAATATAATGATAATTTTTGTAAATTTGTCAACTCACTTCGAAAACAGGTGTCACACTTGTATACAAAAACACATTATGCCATATTTTAATTGGTCCAAGCATTCTCAACTAAAAAATAATTCGCTACAAATTCAAATTCTGATAAGAAATCGCACCATATGAATATGTATCACATTACAGATTCGAATATTTTTTTTATTCTAACAAAGCCCGCGCTCGTGAAATATTCAACATTATTATCAGTCTGATTATACGATTTTAGAATAATTATTTGACGTTGATCAAATGTGATTATCACCGGATTTTTTTGCATTCCAGATAATCATTGGCGGAGATGAGCATTGGGTCAAGTATTCCCAATGGGTGTGTATTGCATATACACACACCCATTGTTGTTGTTCTTCTTGTTGTTGTTTTTGCAATTTAATCAAAAAAATGTGTAATTAATATTTAATAGTAATTAGTCGAAAGAATGAATTATAATTACTAGTCTATTTAAAATCGCCGTGTGTACAACAAATGCAAATCGGTTTATATTTGGATTCGGAAAATCGGAATATATAGATATTGTGTAGTGAGGTGATAAAAGAAAGGTGATACACTTTGACGGGCAGATATGAATACATAATTAAATAATAATAAATATAAAGCAGTTGAAAACCATATTAATATATATTACACATACTCACCTATACACATATAGCTCTGAAAATAAAAAAAATAAATAATTATAAAATATATATATACTTTTTGTAAAATAAATAAAATAAAATACCTGATAGTAATGGCGAAATGTTCTTAGCAAGGCTGAACCCTACCAAAAACTAAACCATGAAAATACTGAATTTTGAAGGTAGCTATATGTAGGCTCTAAGTAAACATTAGAAGCTGGTTTTGACATTTTTATGTCCAAGAACAAAAATAACACCAAAATCTTAATCCTCAAGAGCAAACCTTCAACAACTGAAATTGGTTTTTTTTGGTCTTTGTTGTGCGGTAGGTTTTTCGTTGGTCTATTGTGAGCTCTATCGTGATTTTCCCAGACTGACGGATATACATGCATACTTGTAGATACATACATTTACTACAATATTATTTCGAAATAATGAAAACGAAATGACAAATTTTGTCGACACTTCACCGTACTGAGCTGTGTATACGAAAACGGGGACCTACAGCATCTTAGGAACGCCTAAAATATGAGCATGTGAGGGCTACATTTTAAGGGAATATAAAAGACCTTAGATACGTCTTTTATAGAATTCAAAAAGAAAACCTTCAAGAGCTGATTTAACATGAAAGACATTAAACAACAAAACCGTCGGTATATTTGCCCAACCGAACTTTTTATTCCAGTAAATTTGTTTCCGAATATTCGAAGACGTTTACATCCCTCTCCAGATGAAATACACCCGAAGCCTTCCAATATGTTAAAAACCAAAATCGGCATCAACACATGACAATAACACTGAGGACAGAAGATAGTGTCACCCGGAGGAAAATGTCAACACTAAATAGCAGGGATTCAAACCAGTGCAAAAATGTCAAATAGGTGTTGTTTCTAGGAAACGGTAGATGACAGTCCCATCACCTAGAACATGCTACATCAGAACCAGGATCTGATACGTATAAAAGAGCTTATATGGATGGAAGACCTTCCAAGAGGGTCCTCTATGGACTAAAGACCTTCAAGAGGATTTTTTTGTATTTATAGTAGACTTTCAAGATGCCTTCAAAATTTACTGGAGAGGTTTCCGGTACAACTTACATACTTAGCTTCGACCCATTTCATCCCCTAATTTTTATCTGATCACCACCAACAATTATAGGTATCGCCCTTAACCCTAACCGGAACTTCATATACAATTTCATACTGATTGACCTGCTAGTATGGTAATGGTAATACAAATCTTCGATATACTGCCTGCCTTATCCTGTTTATGTTTTCAAGGGTAAATATATAGGTCATCAACTTTTTTACACAAAAGTGTTGCTCCATTTGACACGTTCAATATTGACCGATCATCGCGGTCAAACAGCCAAATTCCCGTCTCTGTGTAAAAATAAAGTTTTTGGACTATTTGATCACCATATTTGGCCAGAACCAAATCTAAATGCAAAATTGTGGCCTGTATTTTGTTTGCTAATTATAATGAGCAGACGGACGGATAGACACACATGTTTACATTGATTCAGCTAGTGGAGATATGACCTATCATATTCATCATATCATATGACATATTCATCATATTTCGATGGTAGAAGGTGTGTCTGAGTTCAATATTTCGTGGGTTAAAAAAATCTTGGGCCCACAAGAACCTATACTATCCTTACAACATAGTTGTGTAGTATATAAAGACTTTATATTGATATTCTATAAAAAGAAAATAGAACACTTGGAAAGATCTTATATATATGTTAGGTTTTATAGCTACCGCCTGCAGAATGAATAACTATTATTGGACGCCTATTACAGTAGATAATTAACAGGTCTCCTGTATATATATTCAAAAATCCCTATTTTTCAATAAATTATCAGTAGATATATACGTAGCAGATTTCATATAGACCGCCTAGATAGATGTTAAGAGCTCTCCTATAGCTGGTAGACCTTTCAGAGGTCTTTTAAAATCGGTCTTTTCAAAAATAACTTTTGTGGATCTTCCATAAATAACTATAGGAGGTTTTATGTCCTTAATGTACTTCTCAAATTATACATATTGAAAAATCTCTAAAAGGTATTCCCCATACTTCATAAAATAAAAACCTCACTAGTACCATTCACTTTCAATTAATTATATATTCTAATTAAAAAGGACATTGTATCAAAGCTACAGACACGTGACACTAATGATAATATCTTTCCGCCTAACACAATTTAGTTGGAATTGCGAAAAGGCTTCTCAAATTACAATGAAAAGTCTGTGAGTAATGCAACTGACACCCACGCCAAATAATACTTCGCTCTCCCGTTCGCTCTCTGAAATTTGTTAACATTAATCAAAAATGCATTCATATCTCATATCCTTTATTGTCTATAAGCGCATACATGTATATTAATGCATTGTCTCTCTCTGTTTATTTATGATTGTAGCTGTGGTCGTAACTGCCATTCGCCTGTTCGCTAAATGAGTTCAGACGAACCACAAGTCAAATACCAAGAAGTAAGTCCATTTCAAATCAGTGAAGGATTTACAAATTCTAACGCACGCAGTCACACAATGGAGCCCGTCAAAACCGGTCGCATTTTTCTGGCAGCTGTTGCTGGTGAGTAGGAATAAATAATTTCGAAATTATAAAAATATGAAAATATTAAATGTTTTTTTTTGTATTTAGCCAACTTATCAGCCTTTGCCGTTGGCACCTGTCTAGGCTGGACCTCACCTGTTACACCCAAATTGAAAACCGAAGATACCTCTGATTCACCTTTAAATGCACCCATCGATTCAACAGATGAAGCATGGATTTCATCCATTGTTGCCCTGGGAGCTTTAGTGGGTAAGTTTAGAGACGATTTACCTTTTGAAAAACTTTATTTGAAATGACAACAAATACGTTTTGTCCTTGGTCACAATTTTTCCCTTGAACGAAAAACAATAACCAAATACTTTGTTTTTAAATAATAAGGGTGTTGGAGGTTTTTTTTTGTAGTGTCCGTTATATTAGTGATTTTATTATGCCTATGTTCTTGAAATGTTCACCTCAAATTACAGGGAATTGAAGATGAAGTGATGGTATTTTTCATGGTTAAAAAAATTAAAAAAAAATGTTCATGGTTTGTACAATCTCAGGTCCAGCACAAATCCAGGATATTTCATGGTTCTAGCCGCCATTCTCCACCGAAGTGGGTGTAATTAGGCACAAAACTTCTTGGTAAAATAAAAATAGATCAATTATTTGATATTACGTCCATATAAACCCGATTTTTGACCCCTCTGGGAGGTTGCTAAGCTAATTACCCGATTGAATTGTCAGAATTGACTCCTTAGGCTCATTTTCCTATCAAAATGGCAGTTCTCCATTGAAAATGTTTAGTATCGGTCTACGTTTTGAGGGATGGTCTATACACCACCGCAAATTCATAGTTTGATATACACTTAAGCCTTGAGAGACCTGTTATGCCCTATAAACAAGAAAGAAGTCGTCCTTAGAATTGGTTTTTCCTAATCGATTAGGAATTTGGGGTTGTTTGTGAAGACCTTCAGCTTTGTCCATTCACACGCCTTAGGTCTTTGAACATGTTAAGGTTCTACCTTTTAGGGTATCTTTGTGGTGATAGGGTCGTTTTCCAACCGAATTGGTTCTAATTTGGTAATAATGGTTAAACAAAATTACGTTCTGACAAAGCCCACCATATAAATGTCCCGCATCAGTTTAGGCGTTTTGATGATCTTAGACTCAATTTACAATCGTAGAAGCTGTACTTTGGGCCCTTTATGGGTACAAAAGTTTTTTTTTTGGTAATTTGGTTTATGTTTTGATAAAGCGCCCAAATACATGTCCCACCCCATTTTCCAACCGAAGTGATTGTAATTTGACAATCCGGTTCCTTTCCGAAAAATGTTCAGTATTGGTCATCATATCACAACCCCCATATAAAAGTACCGGCTCATTTTGGGAATGTTTATACGTCTGGGCTGATTTTTCAATCGAATTGGCTGGCGAATTTGGCATTCCGGGTGCTCGAAGTGTCCGTATTTTGGTCAATCTATTTTTTAGTTATATTAAAGGTCTCAGCGCAATATTCCAACCCAAGTATATGTGGTTTTGTATTTCGTCAGACAATTTACCTTACCATATCATAATGGAGGGTATAACAACTTCAGGCCACCCGAACCTAACAGCAATTTTATTTGTCAGCATAGCATTTGTTCGATTTTAGACAAGTGGTTCGTAGTGCAAGAGAACTTCATTGAAAACATCTGTCTACATAGATCCACTGTTTTGGTATTTGCGAATTGTAGGGCACACACTTAACCCATTGAAAGGCCTGTTGTGAAGAAAATGCCATGAGATTGGTCCCCATATGCTTCTAGGAATTCTGAGTTCTTAATGAAGTCCTACAGTCCTTTCCATTATCATCACTCTTAGATCGTAAATACTACAATTTCTCAAACATTGGGTTCGATGGATTGCTTCCTCATACACTCTACTACACCTGCTGCTTCCGATTCATCCAGGGCAAACATTCCTGCAGGGTGAGATGTCCCGTGAGAATATCTGTCAGTCTTTTTGTTAAGCTTTTTAGATTTGCTTATTCGTATTTTCATTTGGGTCTCCCCATAATTTTTGCTGTTCTTTCCAGGCCCCTCATTATTCTAAAGTATTTTCTAGGTCTCATTCGCCCATGACCTCATTTCTAGAGGTATTGCGCTAAAAGGTTTGGAATTTTTCACATCTATAGTGGGTATAACAGTAGCATTTCTGACAAGAAGATTGGCGTCTCATTGCCTATTTTACCCGTTCTTCAATAAAAAGTCCCATTCCCGAAGTTCCTGCTTGCCATCTGTGTAACAACAGTTACCAGAGGGAATTTGTGCTAGCGTTCGGCTATCCCATGACTCTCTGACTCAAAACTACTGATTGAAGATCCGATTGTAGCCTTTTCCTTTATATATTTAAGTCTTAAAACTGCGACGGCCGCTTCATATTCTCTTCAAAGCTCTAGTTAGTGTTGTCCGCATATATACCGTGGCAGCATATTTTTTGGACGTTTGCAAAACCATTACATTCTTTGCTGTCCACCAGACTATATCCTCCTATGTTAGAATTAGTCTAACTGCGCTCTTGTAGATCCAGTGTATCATCTTTGGATTAAAACCTATTTTAGAGGTTTAATTCGAAGAATCTATGGGTTTTATCGACCCGTTTCTGTATGTAGTCGGCAATGGTGATAAAATCCCTCCCAGCGGTGTCCCTTGTCTCTGATATTTATGTATTGTATGTTACAGTTTATCCATATATTCCTTACCACGTGCCTGACCCAGGCTATGAGTCAACTCGAAAGGCTTCAAAGGATTAGATATGAGTTTCAGCGTCGATATTGTTGAAGCCCCGATTTTTTTCAATCCAAAAGGTGGTTGCAAAGACTCTTTTGTTAGCATAACCACTATGTGTTTCCTCAAGAAATTGTCTGAAATATTTGCTTTAAGCTTAGAGTAAAATACTGAACGTAAAATTTTTATCAGGACAATTAAACTCCTAATCTGTGTTTTAACCTTCCTCCCATCCCACCAATTGTGACCAAGGATTCCAGTTAGGTTTTTTTATCTTCAAATAATTATTAAATTCCAATTGTATTTCTATGTTTTCTGTCATTCCAGCTCCCTTCGTTGCTGGTCCATTGGCGGACAAAATTGGTCGCAAATGGGTACTACTGTCGAGTTCTGTGTTCTTTGTCATTGCCTATATACTCATGATGATCGGTGGTTCGGTGGTAGTTTTGCTAGTTGCCCGTCTCATACAAGGTTTTGGAGTGGGATTCGTGATGACAGCCCAGCCAATGTATGTGGGAGAAATTGCCACGGATAGTGTGAGAGGTGCCACGGGATCGCTTATGCAATTGTTTATTGTGTGTAAGTTGTTAGATTCCAAAAATCCAAAAATGGTAGCCTGATTGAATTTCCTTATCTTTGTTCTCTTATAGCCGGCATTTTGTATGTCTATGCCATTGGTCCATATGTCTCCTATCAAGCCCTGCAATGGTGTTGCATTGCTGTACCCATTGTTTTCGATGTGTGTTTCTTCTTTATGCCCGAAAGTCCTTATTATTTAGCTGGCAAGGGTCGTAAAATGGAAGCTTTGAAGTCGCTGCAATTTCTCAGAGGTCAAAGTGCTGATGGTGCCCAAGATGAAATGGCTGCCATACAGGCGGGTGTTGAGGAGTCAATGGCTAATAAAGGTTCCATTGCTGATATTATTAAGAATCCTGGTAATCGTAAGGCTCTGTTCATTTCCGCCGGCCTCTTGGTGTTCCAACAATTCTCCGGTATCAATGTTGTGCTCTTCAATTCACAATCGATTTTCGAAAGTGCCAATACCGGTTTGGATCCTGCTGTTGCCACAATTATTGTGGGTATTGTACAGGTGGCCTCTTCGGGCCTAACACCTATTATTGCCGATCGTTTGGGTCGTAAGGTAATTCTGTTGACATCGGCCAGTATTATGACTGTGGGTCTTGCCGCTTTGGGTGGTTTCTTCTATATGAAGCTGGTTGTGGGTGATACATCCAGTGTCCTGTGGTTGCCTGTCCCCGCCTTGGTTGTGTACAATATTGTCTACTGTGTTGGTTTCGGTCCCCTGCCATGGGCTGTTTTGGGTGAAATGTTCCCGGCCAATGTTAAGTCGATTGCCTCTTCGATTGTTGCCTCCACTTGCTGGATTTGTGGTTTCTTAGTTACATATTTCTACCCGGCCCTAGATGCCATGGGTTCGTACTATGCCTTCTGGTTGTTCGGTATCTTCTGTATTGTCGCCTTCTTCTTCGTCTTGTTCATTGTTATGGAAACGAAAGGTTTGAGTCTACAAGAAATTCAAGACAGGCTAAATGGTAGAAAATAAGCCCCAGGAGATGACTTTCGGTTGGAGGAGAGAAGGCCAACACAACAACACCAGTCATTTTGTAGGATATCGAAATGTTGAATGTTTGAGTATTTTACAAATGGAAGAAATATCCAAACCCAGAACCCACTAAAGTATTGCATGTAGTTAGTTATATATTATTAATAAATAATGAATAAAATGATTAATTATCTATATGTGTATGTATAATGTTAAGTTGTTAAGTTTATATAAATATATACAATTTCTATACCTTATATACACGATATTATTATATACAAAGATTAAAGATGTATGAGTATGTACGATAATGTTTTAAATAAATAAGACGAATAAAACTTTATTCGAACGGAATTTTATTATTATACCCTACACAAATATGTTGTCAGGGTATTATAGCTTTGTGCAGCCCCAAAAGTTTGTAACGCCGAAATATTGGTCCTAGACCCACCTTTAAGTATACCGATCGTCATATCTCGACTAGCTGAGTCGATCTAGACATGTGTGTCCGTCTGTCCATTATAATTTGTAAACACGCTACAGGCCACAGTTATGGACCAATCTTCACGAAATTTTGCATGTAGGATGGATTCTGGCCAATGAAGACCCCTATTGTTTTCGGAAAAGATCGGGTAATATTTAGGGGATGAAATCGACCAAATACTTAATTTTTGTCGGTTTTTCTGGTCGCTCCAGAGGCCGCAGTTATGGCCCAAACACCGCGAATTTTTGCATGGAGAAGGGGATCGGACCAACGAATAAGCACGCCTGTTTTGATAAGGATCGGTCAATATTTAGCGGGTCAAATGAATTCTGACTTTTGTGTGAAAAATTCCAAAATTACAAATTAGTCTATGGCATATATATTTATTCCTGAAGGACATAGGCGCGAGGAGTTGATAGTATATCCAAGGGGAATGGTTGGCCTTTATATTGATACCAATTATATTGCCGTATGTACTAAGATGTGGGAGTTACACGTAAATATTTACAGGTGCTTACTTATTCAGATATTATTTAGTAACCCATTACCACACTGGAGGGCGCAAAATTATTATCTGATCGGCGGTGATCAGATAATAATTTTGGAATGAAGTGGACCGAAAACTTAATTTTTTGTGTGTTTTTCGAGTCGATCAATTGCAAAAAGTCGAACATCACAACACAACCTACTGTGAAGGGAATCTGGATAAGTAATTAGAAGGGCTGTACTGAATATTGGAAATATTCGGAAAATATGTCAGTGTAAGGAAGAGATGCTGTTGAAATCTAATCGGGCAAGAGAGTGCAAAATCCGCAGAAAGTTAGAGTTACGTGGTAGTTGTGTAGGGTATCGTATGGTCGGCCCCGTCCGACTATACTGCTCCGCTCACTGGTTTAAAATTATTTAAATTAATTTTTTTGGTAGCCATTGAAAAAATATTTTCAAAAAAATACACGCCTATTGGTAGCCATTGAAAAATTAATTTAAAACCAGTAAGGAAAGTAGTAAAGTCGGACTGGGCCGACAATATGATACCCTTCACCACTTTGAGTATATTGTACACATATATCCTTACAATTGCATGTCAATGTTCCCTCTAAGGAACATGCTCATGCCTTTTGCTACCTATGCTAAATTCAATTCGATTCGGGCAGATTTAAACTCGTCTGTGTACCATGGGATAAAGTTATAGCAAAATTGATAAAGCGATGTTCGGTTCGCGGCACTGTTAAAAATGTTATCTTTATCAGATACCTGTTCGAAGTACATATGGAACAACAACAAAACGCAATAACGGCATTCCAGTCTCGATTTGATACGTTGTGCAAAATTTCGTTTTAAAGGGACAAACATTAGGAGTTTGTTGCACCGTTTATGTAAAATCTCACGAATATATATGTATATGTGGGAGCTGTAGCGAAATCTAAAACGAAACTTACAACACATCATTCTATTCAATTCAGTACGCTATGCCAAATTTCGTGCAAATCGAAGAATATAAAGGGACTTTGGTGCACCATTTACATAAAATCGGACATAAATATATACGGGAGCTATATCTAATACTGAACCGACTTTCACGAATCTTAGCACATATCATTCTAGATTTAATTCAGTACGCTATGCCAAATTTCGTTCAAATCGGAGGATATATAGGACTTTGGTGCACTATTTACCTAAAATCGGACGAAAATATATATGGGAGCTATATCCAAATATGAACCGATTTTCTCGATACTTAGCACACATCATTCTAGACTTAATTTAGTACTTTATGCTAAATTTTGTGCAAATCGGAAAATACATAGGGACTTTGGTGCACTATTTACCTAAATCGGACCAAAATATATATGGGAGCTATATCTATACTTTCGCGAAACTTAGCAGACATCACTCTAGACTTAAGTCCGTACGATGTGCGAAATTTCATGCTAATCGAAAGATATATAGGAATTTTGATACAGCATTTACATAAAATCGGACGTAAATATATACGAGAGATATATCTAATACTGAACCGACTTTCACCAATCTTAGCACACATCATTCTAGACTTATTTCAGTTCGCTATGCCAAATTTCGTGCAAATCGAAAGATATATAGGGACTTTGGTACAGCATTTACATAAAATCGGACGAAAATATATATGGGAGCTATATCTAAATTTGAACCGATTTTCTCGATACTTAGCACATCATTCTACACCCTATGCCAAATTTCGGGCAAATCGAAAGATATATAGGGACTTTGGTGTCCCATTAACCTTAAATCGGACGAAAATATATATGAGAGCTATATCTAAATCTGACCCGCCTTTTTCGAAACTTAGTGCACATCACTCTAGACTTAATTCCGTACGTTGTGCCAAATTTCATGCAAATCGAAGTATATATAGGGACGAAACTATATATGGGAGATATATCTAAATCTGAACCGTTTTTCTCGAAACTTGGCACACATCATTCTGGACCTAATTCAGTAGTCTATGCCAAATTTCGTGCAAATCGAAAGATATATAGAGAATTTGGTGAACCATTTACCTTAAATCGGACAAAACTATATAGGGAAGCTATATCTAAATCTGAACCGATTTTCTTCAATTTCAATAGGGTTCGTCCTTGGGCCAAATAAATGAGCTGTACCTAATTTCATCCAAATCGAATCATAAATGCGACTTGTACTTTGTTTACAATTTAACTTCTACAGACGGACGGGCATGCATAAATCGATTTAGAAAGTGATTCTATGCATTCTATGCAGGAACCATGTGTCTATCTCGTTTCCTTTTACCTGCACATAGACATATGCACAAAGACATAATACCCTGCATCACAGTGTGGTGAAGTGTATAAAAATCCACGCCTATTAGTAGCCCTTTAAAAAATTAATTTAAAAAAAATTCACTCCTATGTGGAAAAAACAATTTTAAACATACGCGTGGATTTTTTTGAAAATTAATTCTATTATTTTATTAAATTTATATTTTGCAGTTCCTTTCTTTGCTGGTCCTTTGGCAGATTGGGTGGGACGTAAATGGTTACTACTCGGCAATTCGACATTGTTCATTCTTGGCTATATCCTACTGATGCTTGGGGGAAAAGTATGGATTATACTTGTGGCTCGCGTAATACTAGGACTTGGCAGTGGCTCAGTTATGACCGTTGTCCCAATGTATATCGGGGAAATAGCTACAGATAATGTTCGAGGTGCCACCGGGTCGCTGATGAATTTGTTCGTTGTGTGTAAGTTAGAAATTACGTAAAAAATTAAAAATAATAATTTAAATCCTCCTCTCCTTCAGCTGGCATCCTTTATGTTTATGTCATTGGTCCATATGTCTCCTACCAGGTGCTGCAATGGTGCTGCCTTGCCATACCCATTGCATTTGTTATCTGCTACTCGCTTATGCCTGAAAGTCCCTATTATTTATTGGCAAAAAATCGTAAAGAGGATGCCTTGAAATCACTGCAATTTTTGCGAGGACAAAGTTTAAACAATGTACAGCAGGAATTGTCGGAAATTGAGAAATTCTTAGAAGAATCTAAGGCAACACAGGCCTCTATGATGGACCTCTTCAAATTGCCGGGAAATCGTAAAGCCCTGTTGATAACCACCGGTCTCCTGGTATTTCAACAATTATCTGGCATCGATGCAGTACTCTTTAATTCCCAATCAATATTTATGAATGCCGGCAGCAGTTTAGATCCAGCAGTGGCCACCATAATTGTGGGTACTGTGCAATTTGCAGCATCTCTAGTCATACCCATCATTGCAGATCGCATGGGACGCCGGGTAATCCTCCTGACTTCATCAAGTATTATGGCATTGGCCTTGGCTGCATTGGGTACATTTTTCTATGTCAAAATGGATTCCGGCAATGTGGACTCTATTCTATGGTTACCGGTTACGGCTCTTGTGATCCACAACATTTTATATTGTATTGGTTTTGGTGCTCTGCCCTGGGCTATTTTGGGTGAAATGATTCCACCAAATTTGAAATATATTGCCTCACCAATTGCCACATCGTCATGTTGCACTGCTGGTTTTGTGGCCACCTACGTGTATCCGTATTTGGATGCCATGGGGACTTATTATGTTTTCTGGATATTTGGTGGATGTTGTGTCCTGGCTTTTTTGTTTAGTTTCTTTGTCGTGATTGAAACGAGAGGCTTGAGTTTACAGGAGATACAAGATAAGCTACACACAAAGAAAATGTGAAAGTTGTGTATCAGGAATTTTGGAATGACCTTGGCAGTATTTCAGGACATATGACTGATAAATTATGAGATTCTATATAGAAAATTGACAGTATTAGAATATAATTAAAAATATTTTTTCCGAAGCAAATCAATATAATGCGTATTTCAATAAATATTTCAAAAGGTAAAATATTAATTTTAAACCAGTAAGGAAAGTTCAAAAGTCGGACGGGGCCGACTATATGATACCCATTACCACTTTGGGTACATCCAAGACATGTTAATATCTACAATATCCTGTAGACAGAACGGTCATAGAATCTTTGGAGGACCGTTGAGATGAAATCGGGCGAAATGGGCCATCTAGATAAATATTTGAACCAATTGAAAACCCCCATACCCTGAAATCAATGAAAAATTGCATGTCAAACGGACAGACTTGGATTCTTAGGTGTACCATTTGTATTTTGTAATCACTATATTCAATTTAATAAACTCTGCCAAATTTCGTGTATCCACCATTTACATAAATTCGAACGAAAAATATATAAGACCTATATCAAAATCAGAACCGATTTCAACACACCTTATCACGCATCATTTTTTCCTCAATTGCATTCACTATGCAAAATTTCTCAATCGGACAAATATTGGAAGTTTGGTGCATCATTCACATAAAATCGGACGAAACTATATATGGGAGCTATATCTAAATCTGAACCGATTCCAACAACATTTGGCATACATAAGTATGGACTTGATTCAGTGCGCTGTGCAAAATGGTGTCCCAATCGGACAAATATTGAGAGTTGGTGCATTATTTACATAAAATCGGGCGAAACTATATATGGGAGCTATAACTAAATCTGAACCGATTTTCTCCAATGTCTGTGCCAAATTTCATTCAAATTGGAACATAAATGCGACCTGTACTTTGTTTACAAAAATGCATGGATGGACGGACAGACGCACATGCGTAAATCAACTCAGAAAGTGATTCTATCCATATTCTCAAAAGGAACCAACTCGATTCATTTTGCCTGTTACGAACATATGCACAAAGACATTACCCTGTATCACAGTGTGGTAAAGGATATAAAAATCCAGGCAAATGTAAATAATAAAAAAATATGTTTTAATTTTTTATAAGTTCTTCGTTATTTTTTCATAATCCTTAAAAAAATTTAATAAAAATATTTTAGTAAATATTTTGAAACTAGACACCTTATCCTTTCAAATGTTTTTTATTTCACTTAAATACGTTCCGAAACAGCATACCGCTGCAATTCAATAATATGCATGCTCAATCAATGAAGCAAGCAAAGAAAGATCCTACCCCCAACCACCACCTACTTGAACAACAACTCTACAATACGAAAGCACACAACAATAACAACAATATCTGCTATGAATCTCTATCCTTCCATTGCCACCCACTTTGGAGATCTTAACAATATCACTGTAATAGACCAGATAACGAAACACTGAGAGGAGAATAATTGTACTCTCCTCTACACAGTTACATTCTCTCATAATGAGAACAGTAAACATCAATATATATACTAACAACAACAAACATTGTATGGTGTCTTTTTTCTTGGGAGTCTGAAAGAATATTATTCTTCTTCTTACCTTTTAAACATGACCACTTTGTAGAAAGGGCTGGAATTTTTTAACAAAAAGAAATATACACACACGCGGATTTTATATTGAATAATAATTATTCTTTTATACATTTTCACTTGTAAATAACGATTCAATAGAACATGCACTCGGAAATAACTAAATGAACAATTGACCAATAAATTTTCTAATGAGAAAAATGTAAACCACATGTCTTGACCTTTGTGGGAATTATAATAGGGAGACTAAATCACACTTTACAACATTTATTGATAACATTTTTTAATTATTTTCAAATATATAGAATTGCACTCGCGACACAAAAAACACGGATGTGAATACACTTTTAATTTTCAAAAACTAATTGCAATACGAATGAATTGAAAGAATACTTCACGCAACCGCACGACCCGACTTTTAAAGAATAACTAAATTGAGTAACGGCTGAGAACAATGTATGGAGCAGAAAATTGAGAGATCTCCCCATCAACAGAACAAAAACAATGCATAAGGAGAATCCCGCTACATAACGGTAGGAGTTAGGCAAATGTAACCCTGTTGCCATATAAGAATTCTAATTAGAACTGCCAAACTTTGCAGTTTACAGTGATGCCAATTTAGCGATTTTCCTGACAATGTATTTTGGAATACATAAATATAAATAATTGAAGAAATAAATAATACAAAAATTCACGCCTATTGAAAAATAAATTTTAAAAAATCTACGCCCTCGAAAAGAAAATTAAATTTTAAAAAATCTACGCCCTCGAAAAGAAAATTAAATTTTAAAAAATCCACGCCCTTGAAAAATAAATTTTAAAAATTCCACACCCTCGAAAAGAAAAATAAATTTAAAAAAATCCACGCCCATGAAAAATAAATTTTAAAAATTCCACGCCCTCGAAAAGAAAATTAAATTTTAAAACTTCCACGCCCTTGAAAAATAAATTTAAAAAATCCACGCCCTTGAAAAATAAATTTTAAAAATTCCACGCCCTTGAAAAATAAATTGTAAATATTCCCTTAAAAAATAAATTTTACAAAAATCCATGCCTTAAAAAATAGATTTAAAAAAAATCCACGCCCTTGAAAAATAAATTTTAAAAAAATCGACGCCCTTGAAAAATAAATTAAAAAAAACGCGCCCTGGAAAAATACATTTAAAAAAACCACGCCCTTGAAAATTAAATTTAAAAAATCCACGCCCTTGAAAAATAAATTTAAAAAATCCACGCCCTTGAAAAATAAAATTTAAAAAAAAACACGCCCTTGAAAAATAAATTAAAAAAAACACGCCCTTGAAAAATAAAATTTTAAAAAATCCACGCCCATGAAAAATAAATAAAAAAACCACGCCCTTGAAAAATAAAATTTTAAAAAATCCACGCCTCGAAAAATTATTTTAAAAAATCCAAGCCCTTGAAAAATAATTTTTAAAAAATCTACATCTTGAAAAAATACATTTTAAAAAAATCTATGCCTCGAAAAATAATTTTAAAAAATCCAAGCACTTGAAAAATAATTTTTAAAAAATCTACATCTTGAAAAATAAATTTTAAAAAAATCTACATCTTGAAAAATAAATTTTAAAAAATCCACGCCTTGATCCTTTAAAAATCACTAAATTGTCATTACTGTTACTGTAGCTAAATTGCATTGCCTGAATTTTGGCAGTTCTAATTAGAACATTAATTTAGGATCTCATGACATTCTCACGGGGCAACAGCTATGTGTGTGTGTGTGACTGTGTAATGAAATGGAGTTTGTCAATTGGCTCTCTTCCTAGGTAGATTGGGGTAACTCTCCATTCGTTCGCTCCAGTCTTTGTTCTCGGCAATTACTCGACTTTAGTTCTTCTTGCAATATCGGGTAGTGCGGTTGTGTTATTTGCGTTTAAAATTCGTTGGAATTGGAATATTAGTTCTGCAAAATTATTTTGTAATTGTGTCCGAACAAGTGCGTGTACCTTTCGCGTGTGAATTAAAAAACAACTAATAATATAAAGTAATCACCTACGCGTTTCGTATTTATAAAGGAAACAAATCGTGTGTCGCTTTGTCATAATCGGGGTTTTTTACTAGTCCAGTCTTTTACTCCCTTCTGCGTACCATTTCATTTCCTTGTCGAAATCGTGCGTGAAATATTCCATGTAAGATTGTGTGTCGATATGTATTCGGGGTATTATTTTTTCGCGTTTGCATTTTCTAAAAAAATAACTATTTTTCAATACACATTCGTGCGTGTGTGCGTACCCTGTAGGACTTTCATCAACTAGTTTACAAAATGTTTAGTTATAAAGAAATTATTAATCAACTGATTATAAATCCAAAATATGTTCATGTCATCAAAAACATAACACACGCAAAACAAGAAACCGTTAGAATTGCATTCCACACAACAACACCGAATGCGAAGATGACAGAAAATCATTCTGTTTGGAAGTTCGGAGAGTGAAGACGTGTAAATCGTAATTAATTGTAATTGTGCTCTTTAAGTGTGAAATTAAAAAAAAAATGGTAAGTGTTTTAATAATATAATTGAAATGTCACGCCTCAGCATGAATTTAAGCGAGTAATTTATTATATAAATTAAAACCAACTATTCTAATACGAATTTTAAAGATTTCCAAAATGTTTTAGAGTGCCTTATGGACGTCTTCCGATCACTTCCAGTGGATTCAGAGAAAGAGCTCCAGAAAGCATTACATATTATTAAAAAACGTCACTTTCACAAAATATGCATACAAAAAAAAAAAAAAAACAACTATAAGTCAATCATTTAAATTAAATTTCTGTGATGTACTATTTATTTATCATATTTTATGTATTTCCACCTATGTATATAATTTTCCAACTATTTATAATAAAATTTATTGAATTCTAAACTGAAATTGTACATTGTCTAACGTTATTTCATAGATTCAAACATTGCAGTATTGGTATAATTACAAATTAGCCAAGTTAAGTTAGTAAATAGTTATATTAACATATACCAACTAATAGTCATTTCGAAAATTCTACATATAAATTAATCTCTTTTAGACCGATGACTATCTGCATTTTTTTTATCTAACTATAAATCGGTCAAAAATAACTAGTTTGTAACCAGTTGAAAAGTTACTGACTACTACCGCGATCATCGCCATGTAAAAATAGTCAGTTGGTCCAAAGAAAAATAATCGATAAATGGACTAGTAGTGACTATTTTAAAATTAGTTTAAAATTGGTTCATTTCCCTACAGGGTATGTTTTTTTTGTTTGTTAAGGTATTTGAGCCCTCTACACAATGTGGACATGATCATAAGGTAAGAACAAGAATATTCTTTGAGTCTCCCAAAACAGGCGCCAAACAAACGTAGTTGTTAGTGTCCATTGATGTTAACTGTTCTCATTACGG